TACCAGAGCCACGTGGGGAGGCCCAGAAGGTCCATAATTTTCAACTAAAGTTCAAAAAGCCTGAGCAGACACAGAATCGTCCACTTCTGTACGGATGCAGCCAAACAGGGACCTAGTGGGCAAAGTCAGAATGATCTTCCAAAAACAATAGCTTGAAGGTCACTCTAGAGGTCAGGGACAGTGTATCATTAGTCCTCACTCCCAGCAGCCAGTCAGCATGGTGCCTGAGCAAACACACCCTCAACACATATGATGGATGAATGAGCTACAGACCACGGCTGGCGTGGGTAACCTTTTCCAGACTACCCAAACCTGACTGAACTCGACCTCTTCACAAATGACCCTCATTTATGAAACAAGCACTATGGGAAGCCTGAGAACATCTACCAGCCTGTTCTCAACACAACCATCAACACAAGATATTCTGGGAACTGAGTTCAACCAGCCATAGAGGCAGCCATGCCATCAAAACAACTTCACACTCCCTAAATTGTCCTCAAGCTTATCGGAGGAGAACTCATCTGATCTTCTAGCCTCGTAACCTTACAAAAAACAAATGAGGTTCACTTGGCACGATTTGTTCTTGGCAAAACTATCTTGCCTTTAGTTCTCACTACTTCCTTTCCGACGAGTGCCCAGCCATCTGCTCCACACCATGCTCTAGGATGCTGCCAAGGATGTGAAGAAGAAGCCATGAATCGGAGAGTCTAAAACAGCATCCTCCCAGGAAAATGCAATGCAAGTCACAAACGCTAACCGTGTATGTTCTTTTAAATTTCCTTGTGGTAACATGCTAACTCGTTTCAGTCATGTCTGACTCTGCGACCCTATGGACTATAGCTAACCAGGCTCCTCTGTCCATGGGATTCTCTAGGTAAGAATAGTGGAGTGGGTTGCTATTTCCTTCTCCGGGGATCTTTCCGACCCAGGTATTGAACATGCGTCTCTTATGTCTCCTGCATTAGCAGGCAGGTTCTTTACCACTAGTGCCACCTCTTGTGGCTATAGCAAAAAATTTAAAAAAAAAAAGGTGAAATCATTTTGATAATCTATTTTACTTATAAACTTGATAATATATTTTAATAATACTATATTATCAATCCAAAACAGGTGAAATTATTTTGATGATATATTTTATTTATAAGCTTGATAATATATTTTAACAATAATATATTACCTGTCCAAAATAGTATCACATAAACATGTAATATAAAAAATTATTCATGAACTATTTTACATGTTTTTTTCAAGCAAATCTTCAAAATGTTATATTTTATGCTTGGAGGCATTCAAGCAATTCAGGCCAGCCACCAAGCTAGTACCCAGAAGTCACCTGCGACCAGCGGTCAACACACCAGACAGTGCAGGGCTAGGATCTCTTGGCATTTTCTGAAGAATCAGGGCATTTAATTCTGGCATTTCTTGTCTTCTCCATAATCTCTCAGGATATTAAATAGTGGTATCTTCATCCTATCTTCAAATTTACCCTACACCGGAGAGGCCCTTGGCCTTGATCTTGACATGCAAAACACCCTCAGGGCAGCAGAGTGGACTTGAACACAAGCAGATACTCACATGAAGCTGTGAGATACAATTCCTGTCCCTCCATTGAATCCTACAGTACCGATAAGGCAGAGACATACTTTTACGCCTTTGCATTCAAGTTACTTGGGCTTCCAAGGTGGCTCAGCAGTAAAGAACCTGCCTGCCAAGGTAGGAGACCCAAGAGATTTGGGTTCAGTTCCTGGGTCGAGAAGATCCCCTGGAGAAGGAGAGAGCAACCCACTCCAGTATTCTTGCCTGGAAATCCCATGAACAGAGGAGCCTGGTGGGCTGCAGTCCATAGAGTGGCAAAGAGTCAGACACGACTGAGTGTGCATGCGTGCATTCAAGGTACTTGAACATCACAAAAGGTGTGATTGTTTATTCTGTTCTTTTTATTTAGACCAAATGAAGTCAAGGAAAAGAACTAAAGATGAGGCATAACAGAGCCTTTTAGGATGATCAGGAGGGCATGAAGCAGAGAGAGAAAGCAGCAGATGCAGTGCCAGGCAAAGCCCAGGGAAGTGGCTGCAGAAGCCCTCGGGCCGAGGCAGGGCAGCCCTGGATGGTGGGTTAACAAGACTTCGTCCTGGGCACTTGAGTGGGGCCTGGGCTGGCCAGGCAATGTGACAAGCCGGTGACACAGCTGCTTCAGAGGGAGCACAGTGGAGGCAGGAAAGGGAAGACGGTGGAGGCGGGGCTACCAGTCAGAGAGGAAAAGAGGACCAAGGTCTAAGCTGTGGGGGAAGGCACACCAGGAGCAGGGGAGCTGATCTCAGAGTCAGATGGAGGGGGAAACCCAGAGAGGATGTCAGAGGGGACTGGGGTCCTCACTGCAGGATCAGGGTGATGGTGAGCTCCAAGCATCAGCTGGCAGGAACATGGGCTGAAGAATACTGGCCAGACTTCTGCCCTCAGTCCGGAGGCCTCTCCCGCTCAGCTCAGGGGAGGGACTCCGGTCAGCCTCAGCCTCAGCTCAGATGCAGTGGCGTGGCAGGAGAGAGAGGGGAGAAGTCATCCCTTCCCAAACAGGAGCTTTTCGTGGCTCTCACATAGTCGCTTCATTAGATCACAAAGCATTAAACATCTATGAGCACAGACAAAAGCTGTCTTGCTTACTACTAGGTTTGCTATTTTAGGTTTGAGGAATTTACCCTCTTAACAGTAGAGGGAAGTTTCTTACAGGAGCTTTGCAACTTTTCAAAATGCAAGAAAAAAAATAGCTTTTCATACAATATTTCCTCGGCGTTGCTTTTGTTCAAAGAGGGGATGGAGGGGCCAAAAAGTCACAGTGCAAAGAAAAAGGGACAAAGCTTTACTTTTTTCTCTTGTAAAGACGAATCTGGGCTTTGTGGATGCTGCATCCCCCATGCCAAGTGAGTAACACTGTGATGCATGTGACCCCAGTCACATGGACACTTTCCACGAAGACAGCAGGGCATTTCAGATGATGGACACGGCTGGAAGAGGTCACGTCAGTTCTTCCACGACGGGCAGGAACTTGGAGGCAGAACTAGGGAAAGGAAGTTCTAAGAGATGGCTGAGATGAAGATGAAGCTCTACAGGAGGTGGCCCAGAGGCTCAGAGCCACCAGAGCTTCAAGCAAGACAAGTGAAGTCCACCCCACCAGGGAGCATCACGGTCCCTGGTAAACAGCAGGCACTCAAGCATACATGAGTATGGGTGCCACACCACTGGATTCCAAGGGCTACAAAGAAATGGAAGTGGTGTCAGTCATTATTGACACCACTAGTTACTGCATCAGTCATATCTGACTCTTTGTAACCCCATGAACTGTTGCCAGCCAGGCTCCTCTGTCCATGGGATTTTCCAGGCAAGAATACACCCAAGCCAGGTGACGCTTGGAGCTCACCATCACCCCGACACTGCAGTGAGGACCCCAGTCCCCTCTGACATCCTCTCCAGGTTTCCCCCTCCATCTGACTCTGAAATATCTCCCCTGCTCCTGGCATGCCTTCCCCCACAGCTCAGGCCTCAGTCCTCTCTTCCTCCCCAGCTGATATCCCTGCCTGGGTCTTCTTCTTTTTCTTGCCTCCACTATGCTTCCTTCTCCAGTGGGTCTTCCCAACCCTGGGATCAAAACCACATCTCTTCTGTCTCCTGCACTGGCAGGCGGGTTCTTGACCCCAGTGCCACCTCGGAGGCAGTTACTACATCAGTTGGTCCAAATCTGAGCACGGGTTTTAGAAAACAGCTCAGTAAGGCCCTGGCATCCATGTCCTAATGCTGAAACATGGAAAGAGAAAAGATTTTAGCTCTATTTACCTTTGGCCTCAGCCAGTTTCATGTAAGGGGATTAAGATTCTAGACAAAACTCTTGTCTGGAGTTTAATAAAGACCCCAAAGTCAACCTACTGGAACCTGCTAAGGCCACACCACCTGATTCCAACGGCTACCCACCACAGTCAAGGTTCCCAGGCCTGGCACCAAAGGGCTGCCTGTGGTTGTTTCTAGTCTCAAACCAACTCATGATCCAGACAGGAGCAGATAAGGAAACTCAGGCCCAGACCATTCTAAATGAGTCGATCTAAATGTGAGCTCTGGGAGAAAGGAGTACACTTTGGTTATATGTGATTGATCAGTTACTGCCCTCCCCAGTGTAGGCGGCCTCATCTCATCGGTGGAGGACCTGAATCCCACAAGGCATGTAAGGGGATGAGATCTCTCTGTGCCTGGCAGAGCTGAGACCCAGTCTCCCCCCACCCTCCCACTGGGACTGACCCCTTGTCTCTGCTGCATTTTCTGCTGCAAACGAAATATTCTGGGACTTCTCAGCCTGCAAAACCACCAAGAGCCAATTTGTTACAATAAACTTTGTTGAGATCAAGATTGAGATCCTATTGGTTCTGCTTCTGTGGAGAACCCAGACCAACACAAGGTATACGTGAATAGTCAATACTATCTGGTAAAATGAAAAATCGAAAGTAATGTGAAGGTCCTTAAGACCTAATGTACAGCACCGGGAACTCCACTCAATGTCATGTGGCAGCCTGGATGGGAGGGGAGTTTGGGGGAGAATGGATACATGTGTATGCATGGCTGAGTCCCTTTGCTGCTCACCTGAAACCATCACCACATTGTTTGGTAATCGGCTATATTCCAGTGCAAAAAAAAAAGTTTTAAAAAATTTTAAAATAAAATCAGAAAGGTAAATATCAGTGATAATCATAAAAGTGTGGGGGCAGGAAAGTTGTTCATTTAACAAAGAGCACCCCTTTCTCCTATCCTCAGGTATAGGATATTGCTCCATTTTAAGCCACTGAGGGAGAAGGGCTTTATATTTTAAATTGCAAGCTAACAGACGCTCTTTTCCTCATCTAAATAAATACACAAATAAAATGAAGATCCTTAAGTATTCCTGAGACAGAATGTATAAGAACATGTGATAACGTCTTGGTTTGCTTAATTAAAAGGCCTTAGGGTGCGGTCTCTTGATCATGAACTCAACTCACTTCAACACCTTTTGGGTAAGAGCCAGAGAAACTACAGAGCTGTTCAACAGCTGAATGCTTCGTGTTGAGATTCTACTGGAAAAGGCACATGGACATAGCAATGGGGGATTAACAACCGAAGAGGTTCGGATGTGTGCCTGTGGATTCTGAAAGGAAAAACTCCGGTGGGAGACATCCATAAGTACACCTGCCTGGCCAAGGGAGCTGGAACCCTTCACACTGCGGTGAGGGCAGGGCGGCTCCTACCTAGGGAAACGTGGCCGCTGCAAAGCTCACGCTAAGCATGGAGGTTACAGCTGAAGCAGTGTAACCCCACTCAGACTACCTGCCATGCATAGGACTCCGGGGGCTTCCCAGGTGGCCCAGTGGTAAAGAATCTGTCTGCCAATGCCGGAGACACAGGAGAAATGGGTTCGATCCCTGGGTCAGGAAGATCCCCTGGAGGAGGAAATGGCAATCCACTCCAGTATTCTTGCTTGGGAAATCGCTGCAACAGAGGATCCTGGTGGGCTACAGTCCATGGGGTCACAAAGAGTCAGACATGACTAAGTTCGCACACACCCACGCATGGGACTTCCATCATTTGTATGGAAAATTCACTTAAAATCAAATTCCAAGGACTTCCCTGACGGCCCAGAGATAAGACCCTGCCTTGCAAGGCAAGGGATACCAGTTTGATCGCTAGACTGGGAAGGTCCCACATGCCGTGGAGCAACGAAGCTCGTGTGTGTTCTAGAGCCTGAGAGCTGCAACTACTGCAGGCTCCAGGCTCTGCAACAAGAGGAACCACCACAGTGAGCAGTCTGCACACCACAACTAGAGAAAGCACCCACACAGCAACGAAGACCCACCACAGCCAAAACAAAAGAATTCCAAACAATGCAGGTAGACTGCATACATCCTCCAGCATGACCTAACAGAATATTTCAACTTCCCACAAGAAATAGATTTTATATGGCTCTGTAATACTCTCCCCCTACAAAAGTTGTAACTATAAATTCACTAACAAGGATTAGAAAAATAATCTCTGTTAAATTAAAGAACTAAGTTATTAGACAGCCAGTCTATCCCCTGAAAGATGGTGGCCACTTTGACCAAAAACTGTAAGAAGGCTGGTTAGACACTGAGTCTTGCTGTAGGTTAAAACAAAGCCTACAGGAGTTGGGAAGAGCAGCCAGGACTAGTCGAATTCCATACCACCACAATGATTTCTCTTCTTCCTTCAAGGTCACTGAACAAGAACAAAACTCACAGGGAAGAAAAAATGTCTGATTCTTAAAATCACAACGTTCCAATCAGTGATCATTTGAATGAGCACTGGCCAGGGATAGACTAAAAGGATTTTAAAAATCCCCAACTCATAGTCAAGTGTACAGAGAACCTCCCAACTCACCTTGTTCTAACTATGTAGTCAAAACAGAATCGCTGTCAGGGGTCACTGGTATCTCCCAACACTACTGAGTTCCCAGTTTGCAACCGTCCATTTCTGATGAAAACGGTGGCCCCCTGAGAGCCAGGGATCGGAAGATGATGCATAGTTTTCATGTGGGTGAATAAACAGGCTCACCCATCTAGGATGGTTGGAGGGTTTGCACGAGAATTTGAAAATACATCCTTGCATTTTATTTGCTAAACTTCACCCAAAGACTATAGTCAACAAGCAAGCACTGGGAAAGATGAAAGCCTAGAGAAGAACATACCAGTATTCTTATTTCCAAAATGATTTCCTTTTCAAAAAAATACAAAAACACAGCATCAAAATCAGTGAAGCAACAAAAGCCATTACAATGGATACAGCATCACCAGTAACAAAATATGACTTAGAAATGGGAGGAATAACCCATGATCCAGAGGGCTGACAGGCAGTTTCACCGGGCTGCCAGCTCCACCCCAACTCCAATGCCAGCTTCTCAGGGGTCAGAGCAGAGTGACATGTGATAGCCCGGTCCCTTGTATGGCAGGCACACTTTCCCACTACATTTCCTTGTGTGCTTTATAGAAGGAGATGGGTGCCTTTAAGCTGGTATATCAGGTATTAGGTAATCAGCCTCTGGTGACATTTGCTGGAAGATGAAGCAGGTGACACCCTCTGAAACGCAAAACCACAAGCAGTCCCACAGTCCCAGGAAACCCGTATTTCCAGATAGAAATTTTCCCTCTTCCCCAATCGCCATCCCCAAAGTCCGCTCTGAAGGCTGGCTTGGAGCCTGCTTGGTGGATCCCAGAATTCTACCGCTAGGCTGGAAGGCCCGTCATCGCAGCCGAAAAAACAGAGAAGAGCCCTGCTGTCCTTTGGGTCCCAAGGGAAGGACCCGCTGTCAGCAGTGTCACCGCACAGCCAGTAGGTAAATAAGCCACGTCCCAGGCCCTGTGGACACAGCAGTCCTTGCAACAGTGACCTGCTCAACCTGCAGAAACACACTTATAACAACAACAACACATACACAATTTCCCTTAGGAATGAGGTGAAGAAAATAGCATAAGACCGGGGGCCAGAGAGTGGCTGGAGAAGGAGGGACCTTAGCTTCAGCAGTCAGGGTGAGTCTCTCCAAGAGACTTTCACGCTGTGACCTGTGTAATGAGAACACACGAGATGGATGGAGGGGCAGATGACATCCAAGAGATGGTAACCCGTGGCACCAACCAAGCTCCACGTAGAGCTGGCTGCTCTGCCAGCTCCATCCTCCTTAAACCCCACAGCGATCCCCTGAAGTGTGTCCTGCAGTTTCCCACCTGACAGATCAGGAAACTGAGGTTCCCGAAGCCTGAGTAACCTGCTCAGCCCATCCAGCCAATCTTTAAACCCACACCAGCTCCAAGAGCAAGGCGCCCTCCCCCAGACTCTCAGGCATCCGCTTGCTGGCTTGCTGGCTGACAACTACTTGGCCTGATTACCCAAGCCCTCAGCCCGCCCTGCTCCCAGTGACAGAGAAACAAAGCTCGGAGCTCCCAGGGGATGTGCCGCCCACTCTGAATGACACACAGTGTCTGTGTGTCCCCGTGGGCCTGGCAGCTCCAGACTGTCCCAGTTCCCTTGATTCTCTGACACCCACAGTCTGCAGTCCACCTGCGGGAACAGAATCTGCAGATGCCTTCTCGTGCGGTTGTGAAGCAGCAGAAAGACACAGGGGATGCAGTTTTCTACACTAGCTTCCAACCCAGAGGTCGAAGATCCCACTACACAGCCCCTCCCCCCAGAGCCTTCCAAATAACAGAATTCAACTCATATTACGCAGGAGCAAATAAAACTGAAATGCAAACCAGCAAGCCCTCTCAGCCTGGTCTCCAGAAAAGACCAGATTTTGCCAAATCTAAGGCAACTCTGTTTTCCAGTGTTGACATCTGAAATGAGGATCCACGCCACAGCGGGTCCTTAACAGGCGAAGCTTAATGGGAAGTTTGTTTTCTTTCTTAGTGGTGTACACAGCAATGATGCATCTTAAGAGCAATACTCTGTCAAAGTGTTAATCGCTCAGTCGTGTCTGACTCATTGCGACCTGGTGGACTGTAGCCCACCAGGCTCCTCTGTCCATGGGATTCTCCAGCCAAGAATACTGGAGTAGATAGCCATTCCCTTCTCCAGGGGATCTTCCCAACCCAGGATCGAACCCAGGTCTTCCAGGCAGACTACCATCTGAGCTACCAGGGAATACTGTGTTGGGTGAGCAGTAGTTCAGCATATCTCCTCTGCCTTCCTTCCTGCCCATTTGGTACTGGTCACCACGAGGTGGGCACACGGAGCCGCCAATCTGCAAATGAGAGCCTGCCCCCACACCCCGAGTCACACCCTCCAGCAGGACCCACAGCATACAGAATAAACAGAAACTCCCCCCTCCCTCACCCTGGGGCCTCAAGGTAGGCCCTGCTGACCTGGCTCTTCTGCTGCTGTCCCCTGTTCCTCACGAAGGCCACAGGGCCTTTGCACAGGCTGACTATCCTCTCGGCCCAGAGACCTTCCAGAGGTTGCCTCTTTTTCTCACATAATGTCTTCACTCAATCAGCCTCCATGGGGTCCCCAGATGAGAATGCCTCCCTCAGTCTTGACTGCAATTATTACTGCTTCAAATGAGCTTGTCACTTACTTGTTTACTTCATCTATTTTGTCCCACTTTATACCTGACTCCCTCAATGAGGCAGGGACCTTGTCTTTCCTGGGCACCACTTATCTCCAGGACCTGGCACACAAGGAACCCTCTATAAATATCTGTTTATATAGAAATCATAACAGAAGAAATTACCAAACTACATTAATTCACATAATTACTTTATTTTCATTACCTTCCAGTCAACAGGATAAAAAAATTGCTGCCAAGAATAGCTATTTTGAAAGATATCAGTGATTCTTCCTGAAAAAGACAAAAAAGATGAAAGTAACTTCTAACAGAGTACTGAGGGGAAAAAATGCTTTGCATTACAACCTAACCACTCCAAAATTTCCCATATGCTTCCGAATTGTAATTTTAAAAGCTTTACCTGGAAATGGACAATTTCAAAATCCACTGATCTTGCTCTGATGTGTAAAACACAGCACAGAATTCTTATAATTTTTCTAGAAATCTGTCTGCCAAATGACATATTGTTTCCTTGGGCAGAGTTTTCACCTTTGAACTTTTCCCCAAAGTGTTTATAATGTTTAAATTCCATCTTTAGTGTCAGTTCCACTTTAGAATTGTTTAATCATACTGGGAAAAGGAAGCAATTTTCTTCACCTACTAATGTTTCCTTAAAAAAAAAAAATTAAAAACAAGTCTCCTGTCTTTAAATGCTGTGTTCTTATGTGATTATCCTTAGGGAACTCAAACTGCAAAAAGTTAGAAATGTGAAAATCACTTGCAGGCCCTTCTCACAAGCAGGAGGGAATCAAACATGTCAGAATAGGAGAGAATACATATGATTTAACTTCAAGAATTTTGTATCACATAAAGACAGTCCAGAAACAAACCTGGGTTTAAAAACAATGAAAGTGTATTCTGCAATACATTTCCTCACTGGTATCTAATGACTTGAATTAATTGGACCATGACATCTATGAACAACAAAAACCTAAATTTCTTACTACTTACTGTTCACCAAAATCGTCCATACAAATCACCCCATAACTTATCCCAACAAAATTTAGAATCAATACTACATTTATATGTACGCGTGTGTGCGTAGTTGTCTCTGACTCTTTCAGACCCCATGGACTGTATGTAGCCTGCCAGGTTCTTCTGTCCATGAGATTTCCCAGGCAAGAACACTGAAGTGGGTTGCCATTTCCTTCTCCAGTTGATCTTCCCGACCCAGGGATCGAACCTGCTTGCATTGGCTGGTGGATTCTTTACCACTGAGCCACCAAGCCACAGGCACACCTGGGTTAAAACTGCAGCTTTGCTTCTCTGGAGCTCCATGACTCAGCCAGGTCACTTAGCCTCACCTGAAGCAAGGAGATAACAGCAAGGACCCTGCTGCAAGAGTTTAGAGAATGCAGCGTCACTTGCATGGGACTCGGCCAGAGAGATAACCCTCATTACAATCCAGAACCCCCTAGTTCCTGCACTACCTCCTCTGCTCCGTGCTGTACTAAGTGGAGTGAATATTTTTTTCCTGGATGAGTCATGGCTTTGCAGAGCTCCAGAGGCTTCAGCCTGAATTTCAATTCTTGCAGCATTGTATGGAGTAGCACAATGACGGTAAAAATCAGAATACACGAGAATCCACCCTAGTAAGTGGCTGTCTTAAAGTCAAGAAGTGAGTAGGTTTCTTATTTGTTTTTCTCCCCAGGAGTTGAGTGTTGAGGAGAAAAAGAAAAAAGCGCAGTTTTGCTGAGAGATCCTCTAGGCTCAGAATGATCAGTCTTGCTCTGTTATGGGAAGAGAAGAGTCTAGGGTACAGTCAACTAAATCAAATTTTGACTGACAGTGTTTGTCTTAACACCTGGAATACCATGGTTTTCAGAAAGAAAAATTTGGCCAACAGTCGTAAAAAGCTGAAATTCAAAGAACAAACTTTTCTTACAAGTCTATTTCTAAAGAGACTGTTAGAAGGTATCAATGCAGAAAGAGTGTATTTTGGGGAGAGGGCGAGAAACAAAACTGAGAAAGGAATCCCTCCTCCAATTCGACTGGATCACACATATCAGTGGTGGACTGGTGGTGAGCACCAGTCACAGCACCATCTACTGCCACAGGGTCCCCACAGCAGCCCAGCTCCGCAGGGCCCCACGAGTTAACATCAAGCCTTGGCTTAGCTAAGAAAACTGTTTAGGAATGACAAAGATGCCACTTCAAAGGTAAAAGTGATGAGCAGGGGGGATCCTCAAAATGAGGGTTAACTCCTAACAATCTTTTCAAATATCTAGGTAACAAACATCATCTTTCGGTTACGAATGCATGATCATTAAGCCATTTTAATTTTTCTTTGCTAGTTACACTATACGCTCTGCAGATTTTAAAGCACGGGTAAGAATTACGTGTTCTGGCTGATGTAGGTATAAAGGGTACATATATTTATCTTTTATTGCCTTTTGACACAGTGCGAGGCACAACTGCTGTGCTAGCAGCCACAGCACAGGAATTGAAAGCGAGGAATTGAAAGTATGATCCTAAACCTACAGAACCAGGGGGTTCAGAGCCCAGGTTTCTCCAAATGTCTAGGCTTCTCCCTAGACAAGAAGGCCCCTAAGGTCTTCTTGAAATGTCTTGTGAAATGTACCTGCATATGAGCAGGTGCAGAACTGTGTTCTCATTCTGAGATCTGCTATATCTCATGTATAAGAACACACACAACAGCCTGACTGTCTTAAGCAAAACAATGACCCAATCTCAATCCTGATCTAAAACTAAACCACAGACTTAAAACAGACTATAAATTAAAAGATCAGGGATTAAAAAAAACCAAAACAACCATTAGGAAAAAAAACATATGGACTGATAATAAAAATTATAAATAAAACCAGCTGACACTTCCCTAGCACCATGTCCCAGAGGGCATGATGCTAAGCTCTTTACAGATTATCAGGTTGTCAAAATACCATCTATAGTAATAGCACAGATTAAATACCATAGGGCAAGTCGATGGAGTGTTAACTCGAGGAAGAAGCCTGGCTTACCATTAACTCACCCTTATGTCAGAATAACTGTACTTAATAAATAGCTCATTAGAATGACTAGGAGTGGTGACGTCGCAAAATAAGTACAAGTTAATTCGGGTATTTTCCATGGAACGACTCTAAGTGTAAATTGGGAGGAAAAAGGCTAAATAAATAACTTGAGCTCCAACAGGGGAAATGAAGAAAATGGAAGTCGTTTACAGTCATTTACTATTTATACTGCAAAAAATGCTTACTCTACTATCCGCCTCCTCAAAATCAGACCAGCGCGCAGCCCTGACCATACCAGCTACGCAGTGTTGTCACAGATGTGTGCCAGGTTGTGAATAGGACGTGGCCGGCAGGAAAAACGCAAAGTTAGCTCCTGTCTCGGGCGGGAAAGAAAGCCTGTTAATTTTTTGTGGCTCAATAAAGCTGAACACCAACTCTAAATGGTTAAAAAACCGGGCATCAGGTGCTCGCTTTCCGCTCTGCAGAGGGATTTGAGCTCACGGCGAAGTTCCCTCGCTTCCCTCCCCGGCCTGCACCCCGCAGAAGGGAGAGCTGTCACCGCCCGGGTCCCCACCACCAGCAGCAAAGCCCCCGGACTGGGCAGCGCGCTCGGCGGCCGGGCTCCCAGTTCCGCGTGGTGATGGGGCGCCAGCGCGCCAGGGGTCACTTAATTCCATTTCAGATCTGAACGCTTTCAAAGAAAGTCCAGACAATTGAGACCACGGATGGGGCCCGAGACGGTCCCCCAAAACAAACTTTCGGGGCCTCGGAATCTGCATATCTTGCAGGAATTCCCAGCCCGAGCGGAAAAGAGACAGATACTCGCAAAGTACTCAGGACCAGAGATGAGAGGCCGCGCGAGGGGGCCCTGGCCGAGGGGGTCCCAGGCGGAGCCCCTACCCGCGCGCCCAGCTCGCCGGGCCCCCGCTCCGGCCTCCCGCCAACCCCCGGCGCGCTGCGAGGTCGCGGCCCGGAACGCCGGCCAGAGTCGGTTCGGGCCACGCGGCCCGCGAGCCCCGTTGAACCGAGACCCAGGCCGGGCGGGAGCTGCAGAAGCAGACCCGGCTGCTCGGCGGCCGCGCGCAGCTTCGGGGTTGTGCGCGATCGGGGTGCGGCGCTGCCCCCCCAACTCGGCCACCGGCCCAGACTTACCTCGGCCGCGCTCCCCTGTGCGGCTCGAGCCGGGCACCGGGCTCCGGGGACGGCGGGGAGAAGGAGTCGAGGCCCGCGAGGGACGGGGGCCGGGCCGCCCGGGCCGCCGGGGGGCAGAGCGAGGGACCGGGAAGGCCGCGGGGTCCGGGACGCGAGGCAGCTGGGGGCCGAGCTGGCGGCGGCTCGGTCTCAGTCGAGTGGGAGGGCTCCGGCTGCCCGCGCCGGGGAGCGAGGGAGGGAACTTGGAGCGAGTTGCCGCGGCCGGGAGCGCGTGTCCCCGCCGGTGTGCACGCCCCCGAGCGCCCCGCCCCCGGCCCCACCCCTCCCGCAACCCCCCTTCTAGCCCCTCCTCCAGGTCATCCCCACCCCTCACTCCCATCACTCCGCCGCCCCGCCTCCAAAGCGCTCCGGCATTGGCCCCCCATTCCCTCTGGGTTGGAGAAGCGCTGGATCTTAACTGCCAGGAAACCCCAAACCTGGAGCCTGTTCTGTGAGTGTGAGAACTCGCCAGTCCACCTACCTAGATGTCGGTGCCTGACAACATTCTCTATTGACTTTCATCTACTCAGATACACACACCCTCTCAGTATTTGTAAACTAAGTTTCTGAAGGCTTTTTTTTTTTTTTTGGTTGGTTGATTGGTTGGTTTTGTTTTGCTTTTTAAATTTTTTTTAAATTTAATTTTTATTTGAGTATAGTTGCATCTCCTGTGTCTCCTGCATTGGCAGGCGGATTCTTTCCCCCCAACCACTTGGGAAGACCTCAATACATAGTTTCTTCTTAATGTATCAGTTTCTCCTCTACAGCAAAGTGAATCAGCTATCAGTTCAGTTCAGTTCAGTCACTCAGTCGTGTCCGACTCTTTGCGACCCCATGAATTGCAGCACGCCAGGCCTCCCTGTCCATCACCAGCTTCCGGAGTTTACTCAAACTCATGTCCATCCAGTCGGTGATGCCATCCAGCCATCTCATCCTCTGTTGTCCCCTTCTCCTCCTGCCCCCAATCCCTCCCAGCATCAGGATCTTTTCCAATGAGTCAGCTCTTTGCATCAGGTGGCCAAAGTATTGGAGTTTCAGCTTCAGCATCAGTCCTTCCAAAGAATACCCAGGACTGATCTCCTTTAGGATGGACTGGTTGGATCTCCTTGCAGTCCAAGGGACTCTCAAGGGTCTTCTCCAATAGGCATACATAAATCTCCGCTTTGGGGATTTCCTTCCCATATAGGTCACCATAAAGCGCTGAGTAGAGTTCCCTGTACTGTACTCATTAGGTTCTCATTAGTTATCTATTTTATACACACTATCAGTAATGTGTATATGTCATTCCCTGTCTCCCAATTCATGCCACCCACCCTGTTCCCCCTTGGTATCCATACTTTTGTTCTCTACATCTGAGTCTCTGTCTCTGCTTTGTAAATAAGATCATCCATACCATTTATTTAGGTTCCACATACATGCTGAAGATACTTTTGAGATTCCAAAAAAGATTTGAAGAAGACATTAGAGAATATAGGAAAAAAATCTTCAGGTACCATGTGCCACCCCTAGAGTATGGACTAGCTGATGTTTAGAAATTAAGTAATTCTTTTCAGGTGCATCCTTATTTATCTCATAATGCATGGTTTGGTAATGCTCTTTCTTTTGATTTGCTTAATAACTTGGTTGGGGTTTTGAGGGTTTTATTGTTTTAGGAAGATTAAACCCATTCTAGTTTAGCGTTTACTATTGGGAATGCTAAAAGAGAAAATCTGTATTTATCAAAATGGTTGATTTTGAATGAGATATGAGTTCACAGCATAATTACTTCTCTAAAACATGTAACAAAATTTTATTTTATATCTTTAGCACATTTGAAATGCAGTTGCATTCATCCTGTTTTCTCAGAAGGATCATCTATATTTGAATTATGTGACTCTTGTTTCATATAAGTTCAGAAATTATCAAATAAAGAAAACTCAGGCTCCCATAATAAGCCTTTGGCTTTTTACAAGAGAACCATTTTAAGAAAGTGACATGATACTGGGTTTTCAATGGAACTTTCCTCTGGCATACTAATGCATTCCATGTGATCACAGATTATGTTGTGGTCTCCATTAACTCCTGAAGTCATGTAACAGTAGAATGAAGTTATTTTTCATCCTTCCCATAGCAAATGGAACCAACCTTTCTCAAAGTAGTCTATTAAAAAAAAAATTAATCTCTTTACCCCAACCTCTTCCTTTTGGGAATTGCTTCCTGCCTTTGTGTATGACACACCTCCACCGACATTGCAGGAGCACATGACCCAGTCTGTCAATCAGACTGCATCTCATCCCAGGCACAAAGTGGAGGGGGGCTGGCACATGTTCTAATGAGGAGGGTGGTCCTTTTTCTGAACTGATGTGGCGGCTTCAGAGACCATGCCATGGAAACCTGCAGCGGCTGGAGGGAACCTATTAGGGAAAAAAACCACCTGACCCAGGGAAACAGGTAGAGTCCTGACAAAATTAACAAGCCCCTCCAGGCAGCCTGGTGGCTCAGAGGGTAAAGAACCCGTCTGCATCGCAGGAGATAGGCGTTCGATCTCTGTCTGGGCTGGCAAGAACCCCTGGAGAAGGACATGGCAACCCTCTCCAGTATTCTTGCCTGGAGAATGCCATGGGACAGAGGAGCCTGCAGGCTACAGTACATGGGGCTGTAAAGAGTCAGACACAACTGAGTGACTAACACACTAATGGTATCTTCACTTAATCATCTACTAACACTTTTGCTTTTCATGGGCAGCCATCTCTGAAACCAGTTAGAACTGCTGGACATCTGAGGAAATGCACCAATAAATTGTATTTTTAGCTTATTCTATTTTGAGCTACATTGCTTTCCAAAATACTCACCATAAACAATTCCCATAAGACCTAGGCTCTGAAAATCAGGAATGTAGCCCAACAGTGCAGCTTCCTTGTCACCTAAATGGCCTGCATAATAAAGTAGATGACAAGACAGTCACTCATCAGGAAGCCTTGCCTTGAGACAGGACAGGACTAAGGGTGTCACTTAGGGCATTACTGTTGCCCAGGGTAGATTCCATATTTTCACTTTGTCCTTCCCAAAAGCAAAAATCAATAAAAGATGTGGTTAGAAAACAAGAGAAGATAACGACACCTCAAAACTAGAATATCCCAGTAAATGTTTTTGTCTTAATTATTCCAGTAACAGGTGCCTTCATAGTCCCCAGTATTTGCTGACATAAAACATTTCTCTTCTGGACTCACAATTGTGGGGTCTGCTACAGACTCTGGGGGACTGCTGACTTTGGTTCGTCATGCTGGAATTTTACTGATCAGGAGAAGTGGGCTGTTGGCCTGTGCTTGGAATTCTTTTGTCTCAGAGAGATTCTTGTCTATAAAAGTAGATAACAATATTCGACTAGTACCCTGTGAGCAATCACACACTAGTCAGAGGGTTGCTTAGCCATTACTCACAGGTCCCATGAATGATAGGAGTGTTGGTGGTGAGGGAGTGGGCTGCATGCACTCAAAGGCATTGCTTTGAACCTCTGATTCCAAGGGTATTTTCTTATGGGAATTCTGATCCTTATTCAGAGTTTTCACCAGCCTTTCTTCACATGGGTACATACCCAATTGTGTGGACAGCTAGTGACATTTCATGTATGAAAGCCTGTAAGCAAAAAAAAAAAAAAAAAAGAGAAAGCCTGTAAGCAAAATAGCAATACATCATAAACAGATCTGAGCCCCAGAAAAGAACAGTACGAGGAGGTGAACCATCTCCAGAATCATGAGAGGGTAGCTTAGGAAGAAAAGAAAGAATAGTTCTGAAATCCTGGCCCAGCTCTGAATGACATTTAGTCAAATGATTGGCTATGATTCCCCAGTGAAAATGTCAATCAAATATCCAGAGATTTCCCATGTCCACACATCAGATCTATGTGATGCCATTTCCTTGCCCAAGAGCACTGTAACATCTCTCAGTTCACCAGGGATCCAACAACCCCAGCTGTCCAGAACACATTCCTGGAACAGAGCATACATCACTGCTTTTCAGACCCTAAAAAGAATCTCTTGAGTGCCCCTAAGACACCACCTCTCTGGTCTGGGGGGAAGAGGGATAGACTTGTGTATTAAAAAACAATCCCCCAGGAGATTGTGATGTTGAGCCAGGGTGAAGGTAAATAAGTTCTGTGAATACCTGCTGTTAATTCCACAGGAAAAGACTCCTTGGATTTAGGATTGTATGTAAAATTATAGTTATTGATTGAACAAGCTTGATTTGTCTTTTCCTCTGAACAGCTGAGGTTATAGAAGAAGCACTGAGGGATGCTCCTTAGGAGGAGGAGGATTTGCTAGAAGGAATCAGGCTGAAGAAGCACAGCTCATGGCAAGGCGGAGATAAGAGACTCTCTAAGTAGAAAATCACCACCAATTGCTATGGAAAGAGGTGACTCCACCACAGGCAACAGCCAGGGGTTATCTTTATTGCACATTTCACAGTTTATTACATGTTCATGCTAATGATCGATGAATCAAAACAGTTGAGTTATGTCCAATGAGTACTGACTCACATCATTTAATACTAGTAATAGCTCTCATTTACTGTGTACCAGGTCTGTGCTTCCCAGGTGGCGCTAGTGGTTAAGAACCCACCTGCCAAAGCAGGAGACTTAAGAGATGCAGGTTCAATCCCTGGGTCAGGAAGGTCCCCTGGAGGATGGCGGGGCAACCCACTCCAGTGTTTTGGTCTGGAGAATCCCATGGACAGAGGAGCCTGGAGGGCTACAGTCCATGGGGTTGCAAAGAGTTGGACACAACTGAAATGAGTCAGCATGCATGCACAGATCTGTGCAAGGCAGTATACATGCCTCATTTCCAGTCATCACAATGGCCCTAAACATAAATATTTTGATCCCCATTTTATTAAGAAAAAACTCAGGCCCAGGGAAGGTGAGTGAGGTATCCAAGGTCGTGGAGTTAGTAATTAGGGGATTTAAAGTCTGGTTCACAGGGTGCCAAAACCTATGTATCGTTTACTCTAAATCAACCTTGCCTATGAATCATATGAATCACAGTCCCTAACCACATGAGCTATTTAAATTTAAAAATTAGATTGAATGAAGGCTTTAGTTCCAGTGCCACTAGCCGCTTTTCAAGTGCCATTAGCCACATGGTAGAGGCACAGAGGAAAAACATTTCTCTCATCATCCCAGAAAGTCTTGTTAGTATTGATGCAATGAAGGCAGTGTTCTCTGTGATTAGATTTTTCAAGTAAGCTATTCCAACTTTATGTTAACTATTTGGATGGGATGTTTTCAAAATGATGTCATATGTTCATGTGCCTGTGTCTTGTTTTGTT